TTTTTGAGACGGAGTCTCGCTCTGTCGCCCAGGCTGGAGTGCAGTGGCACAGTCTCAGCTCACTGCAGCGCCCGCCTCCCGGGTTCACGCCATTCTCCTGCCTCAGCCTCCCAAGTAGCTGGGACTACAGGCGCCTGCCACCTCGCCCGGCTAGTTTTTTTGTATTTTTAGTAGAGACGGGGTTTCACCGTGTTAGCCAGGATGGTCTCGATCTCCTGACCTCGTGATCCGCCCGCCTCGGCCTCCCAAAGTGCTGGGATTACAGGCTTGAGCCACCACGCCCAGCCTACTTGCCATATTTTATAAAGATATTTATGTCTAATGAATCTGTAAACATTTATAAAAGTAATGTTATTTTAATCAGTTAACTCTAAGTGACCTATCTTCATTGAAGAGTAATTTTGACTGTATGGTATTTTAAAAAATAATATTCAACTTACAAATTTTACTGGAGAGCTTCAAAAAATAATATTCAACTTACAAATTTTTACTGGAGAGCTTCCAGTATTCTTTTCCATAGCAGTTGTTGAAGTTACTAGTAACGGAACCTTTCTAACTAGATGTTCTTTTCTCAGTGTTTTTCAAGTATATATGTCATTTGGAAGAGATTGGAGTAATAAATACCTGACAACTAGAAAGGAAAAAAATATTCAAGAATGTAGGAATTTTATTGGAATAATAAACCAATATAGGAAGAAGTAGATCTCAAAGTGAATCCTAGTTTCCAGCAAAATGAATTTTAAGATAGGTATATTTAATGGCAGATTGACTTTAAACCAAGAAGAAAAGAGAAAAAATGCTGGTATATTAAATGAAGAAATTAGGGAAGAATTAGAAAGAATCGAAGAGCAACATGGGAAAGTTAGAAGTGAAACAACTTGAACTGACTCTCAGAATACAAGATATGGAATTGAAGACTGTAAGAAATAATTCGAATCAGGTAAATCAATCTCTCATAAAAATTTTGTATTTGTGGGCAGGGCGCAGTGGCTCACGCCTGTAATCCCAGCACTTTGGGAGGCCAAGGTGGGCTGATCACGAGGTGAAGAGATTGAGACCATCCTGGCCAACCAGCGTGGTAAAACCCCGTCTCTACTAAAAATACAAAAATTAGCTGGGCGTGGTGGCGCACAACTGTAATCCCAGCTACTCGGGAGGCTGAGGCGGGAGAATGGCTTGAACCCGGGAGGCGGCGGAGCTTGCATTGAGCTGAGATTGCACCACTGCATTCCAGCCTGGGCGACAGAGCGAGACTCCGTCTCAAAAAAAAAAAAGTGCTGGGATTACAGGCTTGAGCCACCGTGCCAGGTCAAAAAATTTATATTTCTAACTTTATTTCATCAATATTACTTTTTTTTTTCAACTCTTTTTAAAAATTATTCCTTAAGTTCTCGGGTATGTGTGCAGAACGTGCAGGTTTGTTATGTGGGTATACAAGTGCCATGGTGGTTTGCTGCACTCATCAACCCATCTTCTACATTAGGTGTTTCTTCTAATGCTATCCCTTCCCTAGCGCCCCCCCCCCCGCCCCCCCAATAGACCCTGGTGTGTGATGTTCCTCTCCCTGTGTCCGTGTGTTCTCATTGTTCAACTCCCACTTACGAGGGAGAACATGTGGTGTTTGGTTTTCTGTTCTTGTGTTAGTTTACTGAGAATGGTAATTTCCAGCTTCATCCATGTCCCTGCAAAGGACATGAACTCATCCTTTTTTATGGCTGGATAGTATTCCATGGTGTATATATGCCACATTTTCTTTTTTTTGTTTGTTTGTTTCTTTTTTTTTCTGAGATGGAGTGTAGCTCTGTTGCCCAGGCTGGAGTACAGTGGTGCAATCTCGGCTCGCTGCAACCTCCACCTCCCAGGTTCACACAGTTCTCCTGCCTCAGCCTCCCGAGTAGCGGGGGATTACAGGCACCTGTCACTATGCCCAGCTAATTTTTCTATTTTTAATAAAGACAGAGTTTCACCATGTTGGTCAGGCTGGTCCCGACTCCAGACCTCATGATCCGCCCACCTCGGCCTCCCAAAGTGCTGGGATTACAGCCGTGAGGCACCGCGCCCAGCCTATGCCACATTTTCTTTATCTAGTCTGTCATTGATGGGCATTTGGGTTGGTTCCAAGTCTTTGCTATTGTGAACAGTGCCACAATAAACATACGCGTGCATGTGTCTTTATAGCAGAATGATTTACAGTCCTCTGGGTGTATACCCAGTAATGGGATCGCAGGGTCAAATGGTATTTCTAGTTCTAGATCCGCGAGGAATCGCCACACTGTTTTCCACAGTGGTTGAACTAATTTACATTGCCAGCAACAGTGTGAAAGCATTTCTGTTTCTCCACATCCTCTCCAGAATCTGTTGTTTCCTGAGTTTTTAATGATTGTCATTCTAACTGGCGTCAGATGGTATCTTCTTATGGTTTTGATTTGCATTTCTCTAAATGACCAGTGATGATGAGCATTTTTTCATATATTCGCTGGCTGCAGAAATGTCTTCTTTTGAGAAGTATCTGTTCATATCCTTTGCCCACTTTTTGATGCCTTTTTTTTTTTTTTTTTTTTTTTTTGGTAAATTTAAGTTCTTTGTGGATTCTGGATATTAGCCCTTTGTCAGATGGATAAATTGCAAAAATGTTCTCCCATTCTGTAGGTTGCCTGTTCACTCTGATGATAGTTTCTTTTGCTGTGCTGAAGCTCTTTAGTTTATTGAGATCCCATTTGTCTATTTGGGCTTTTGTTGCCATTGCTTTTGGTGTTTTACTCATGAAGTCTTTGTCCATGCCTATGTCCTGAATGGTATTGCCTAGGTTTTCTTCTAGGGATTTTATGGTTTTAGGTCTTATGTTTAAGTCTTTAATCCATCCTGAGTTAATTTTTGTGTAAGGTGTAAGAAAGGGATCCACTTTCAGCTCTCTGCATATGGCTAGCCAGTTTTCCCAACACTATTTATTAAATAGGGAATCCTTTCCCCATTGCTTGTTTGTCAGGTTTGTCAAAGATCTGATGATTGTAGACATGTGTTATTTCTGAGGAGTCTGTTCTGTTCCGTTGGTCTATATATCTTGTTTTGGTACCAGTACCATATTGTTTTTGTTACTATATTACTTTTAATTTTCTAATTTTACTTTTAATATCCCTTTGATTTAATATGTATTTTTCAGGTCTAAATCAAAGAAAAAATGTCTTCAAATTAACTATGACATTTGTAGCTACCGTTATTTATTATAAATTATGGCATCCAAGTAGTATCTTATTCCAATACAAAGAGCTTTTGAAAGTGATGATAATCCCTACCATATACTTAGTGATAATTTGTTGGTAAGTATTTTGTTCCTAGCAACATAGTTTAGTGTATTTTTTCTTTCCTTTTTTTTCTTTTAGACAGAGTCTTGTACTGTTGCCCAGGCTGGAGTGCAGTGGCACGATCTTGGCTCACTGCAAGCTCTGCTTCTCAGGTTCATGCCATTCTCCTGCCTCAGCCTTCCGAGTAGCTAGGACTGCAGGTGTCCGCCACCACCCATGGCTAATTTTTTGTACTTTTAGTAGAGATGGGGTTTCACCATGTTAGCCAGGATGGTCTTGATCTCCTGACCTCGTGATCCACCTGCGTCGACCTCCCAAAGTGCTGGGATTACAGGCGTGAGCCACTGTGCCCGGCCTAGTGTATTTTTTCTAGTTAACATTTAATACTCAAACATTATCAAGCGGAAACAAAAGTTATTGCCATGGTAAATAAGCTCATGGTTTTCTAAGTGGGGTTCTCTAAATTTTATCTTCTTTACCACTTTTGTTTTCAAATAAGAGACTTTTATATTTAAATATTTATCCAGTAAAATTACCTGATTTTGGTGGAGAAGTACTGGATGTAGACTCAAAAGACCTGGAGAAAATTCTACAACTTGTTAATATTTTCAGTCTTTTCCTTTCAGAATTGTGATAACTAAAAGTGCTCATTACAATGTCCCAACTAATCAATTTTTTAAAAAATAGAATATAGAATATTCTCAACACAAAGGAACTGAAAGAACTTTGGAAAATTTTATCTGTCTAAATATATGCAGCACTGAGGATCTTAGTATGGGGTCTCGTGTAGGTTAGACATCAGAGTGTAAACCCAGTTTTCTTAGGTAGTCAAATTGATTAATCTTTTATGCTTTTGAGTTTGTTGTTATTTGGGGAAAATTTTTTTCCATTCTGAGGCTCTTAGTTCTCGAGTCATTTCTTTTTTACTTTTATGAGTTCATTGTCTTCAAATAAATGTTTGAACTTTGGAGAATTTATTCTCTATAGAAAATTCAGTGGTTCTTCAACTGATACCTACTTATGGAAACCCTTTCATTTTGTAAGTACACAAGTTATTCTTGAATTTCAGAGGAACCATGATACGCCATTTTATTGAGTGCTAGCTAATAGTTTTCTTTTATTTAGTTTTCTCATACTTATAAAAATGAAAATGATCTCTTACATGAAAACTGCATGTTGAAAAAGGAAATTGCCATGCTAAAACTGGAAGTAGACACACTGAAACATCAGCACCAGGAGAAGGAAAATAAATACTTTGAGGACATTAATATTTTCAAAGAAAAGAATGCTGAACTTCAGATGACCCTGAAACTGAAAGAGGAAACATTAACACAAAGGGCATCTCAGTATAATGGGCAGCTTAAAGTTCTGACAGCTGAGAACACAATGCTCGCTTCTAAGTTGAGGGAAAAACAAGACAAAGAAATGCTGGAGACAGAAATTGAATCATACCATCGTAGACTGGCTTCTCCTATACAAGACCATGATCAATGTATGGCATCAAAAAGCACCAGCCGGGCACAGTGGCTCACGCCTGTAATCCCAGCATTTTGGGAGGCCAAGGTGGGTTGGATCTCGAGATCAAGAGATCGAGACCATTCTAGCCAACATGATGAAACCCCTTCTCTACTAAAGATACAAAAATTAGCCACCTGTGGTGGCACATGCCTGTAGTCCCAGCTGAGGCTGAGGCAGGAGAATCGCTTGAACCCGGAAGGCGGAGTTTGCAGTGAGCCAAGATTGCGCCACTGCACTCCAGCCTGGTGACAGAGTCAAAGAAATAACCAAGAACTTGCTTTCCACAGTGCAGGAGATGCTCATTTGCAAGGAAAAATGAATGCTGATGTGAATAATACAATATATAACAATGAGAAGCTTCGTCAACCACTTTCTGAAGCTCAAAAGAAGTCCACAAGCCTAAAACTTAATCTCAATTTCTCAGGAGGTGCTCTAAGAGAAAATACATTGGTTTTAGAAGATGCACAGAGAGACCTAAGTGAAACAGTGTCAAGAAAGCTGAACACATATATCAGAATGAACAAGATAATGTGAAGAAACTCACTGAACAGCAGGAGTCTCTGGAGCAGAGATTATTTCAACTACCATGAAAAATATGTGGCTTCCACAGCAGTTAGTTCATGGGCATAAGAAAGCTGATAACAAGTAATATTCGGTCTCTTGAGAGGAAAAAGCAACATCATCTCCTAAAAGAAAAATGAGCAGATATTGAACGACTGTAACCATTTAAAAGACTATATATATCAATATGAAAAACACAAAGCAGAAAGAGAAGTAAGTATCAAAAAATACAAATATTTTTCAACCTTCCTGAAATAAAATTTAAACTCATGTTTGGCCTTGGCTAAATGCCGAAGGTAGTTGAATACATATATAGATGATAATGTATTTACTATATCAGCTTAGAAATGTGCCTTATTTCCACCAAATGAAAGTTAAAGCTGAGAGGTGTTTTACTCCAGGTAAAGACATTGTGTCATTTATGAAACTTTTAACAGTTTAAAAATTTTTAATAGATTAACATTAATGACATTGGCTTATAATGCTGAAATAAAGGTTTTAATGTCTCTTTGTGGCCATATTTTATGACCACAATGAAGCAGATAATGGGAATGTCCATATGAGCAATGAGTATTTTGAAATTAAGATTCAATTCAGCAATTTACTTTCACGGTTAATTCTACATTTTCCAGAGGAACTGAAGTGTATTTGAAGTATATTTTGAAGTGTGCATTTCTGCATCTTAATACTTTTTTCAGTAGATTTTTATGTACTTTAGTTGGTAGAATTTTATTTTCATGTATGTCAGTTTGACTTAAATCTGAACATACTTGAATCTGAAATTATGTATTGTTATGACCACTCAATTTTTTAAAGGCATCTGTGTTTTATTAAATAATAGCTTAGGACAAATGTAGCGAATTTCAGCAATAGCAAAATTGTTTTAATCATCCCACTGTTATTTATAATTTACTTTGAATGTTGTTACAAATAATTTGCTCATAATTTCTATTTGAAGGCTCAAAGATGATCATGTTGATAGAACTTTGTCCGGAGAAAGATCATTGTAGCTATTTGTGATTTATTAGCTTAGCATTGGATCCCCATTTTTCAATTCATGGGGTGTGGCAGGGTTCATGTATAGCACAAAAGAAGTGAGTAGAGGAGAGAAACATAGCAGCTGAGGTCAGGAGAGATGTGGAGACTGGGTTACCTAGGGCCTCTATAGCCTTTGAAATAAAAACACTTTTATTCTGAGATAGAAATCTATTGGAAACATTTCAGCAGGTGATTGAATATGTGAAGAACTTTGATGTTGATTTGTGTTGCTAATAAAAAAGAAGGAAAGCATTCCACTGTGTGTAGAATTTACCCCCACTAGTCCTGCTCACATATTTTTTTGAGACTTTAGTAGATTGTGAAGCATTGCAGATTCATTAGTGGACAAATGACTAGTGGGATAAATCTGGTGTCTAGTAAGAGAGTACCAGTTTGGTAGGAAGATAACACCTTGTCCTTAAGTGCATTCAGTAATGAGTGGGAATGTGTACACATAAAGAAAATACAGTGAATCAATATATTTGGGGATATTTTTGAAAGTAAATGATGTTTATTTGATAAGATGATTTACAAAATCAATAACAAACATGTCAGGTGATGGTGAGACAATGTAAAAAAATTGGCTGATCTCAATAAACTGTGTGTCTGAGGCTTGACTAGAGGTTATGTCACATCACATTAATCTCAAAGGTGAGAGATACAGGATTTAATGAAGAAATTGTTTCAAATCAGAAGTCAAGTATGTATTAAATGTAACATGCCAACAGTGAATCTATAGCTGGTTAAATAATATAAATTGTTTTATGATACTAATTTCCTTGGAAGATTTCTTTTATATGTTCATTATAATTAGTTTTATTACAATTTTATTATCTTTATAATGTGTGTGTTTGTTTATTTTTGAGACCGAGTTTCGCTCTTGTTACCCAGGCTGGAGTGCAATGACGCAGTTTCGGCTCACAGCAACCTCCGCCTCCTGGGTTCAAGCCATTCTCCTGCCTCAGCCTCTGGAGTAGCTGGGATTACAAGCACGTGCCACCACGCCCGGCTAATTTTTTGTAATTTTAGTAGAGACGGGGTTTCTCCATGTCGGTCAGGCTGATCTCAAATTCCAGACCTCAGGTGATCTGCCCGCCTCAGCTTCCCAGAGTGCTGGGGTTATAGGCGTGAGCCACCGCGCCTGGCCTATAACGTGTTTATTTTTAAAACTGGCTGTCATTCTGCAATGTTTTTCTTATGATTACATTTTTTTCTCATAATAGTGTTAAGAATTATGCATCATTATCCCACAAGATGAGAGACTATTTTTTGGATAAACTGTATTTTTCAGTGATTTATGTTGCCATGGTGAGACAAGCCATATTTAATCAAAGAAGAATGTTTCATGGAATATTCCAGAAAATTATCTTATTTCTTAGCTTTACTTTTGTGAACGGATTCCAAGGACATTATACTATTCTCCAAAATGGAAATGTTTAGGTTAATATACACAGTGTTTGAATAGCTAGACAATCCTTTCATTTAAAAAAATATATTTTATAAACAGAAATATTTAGATCATTTGAATATTGTATGCATATTCAAAATAGAAAAAGGAAATTATCTTGATACTGCCATTGGATGTTTAAAAAAGAACTTTATTGGGATAAAATTCACACATCATACAGTTCAGCCATTTAAATTGTACAGCTCAGTGTCTCAATATATTCACAGGGTTGTATAACCATCACCACAATCAATTTCAGAACATTTTCAACACCCTATAGAGAAAGTACACATATATTAGTCATCACTACCACCGACCTCCATGTTTTTTCACCTTCCCCAGTCCTACACAACCATTGTCTAATTTTTTGTCTTTATAGATTTGCCTGTTCTGAATATTTCATAGAAATGGAGTCATACAATTCGTAGTATTTTATGAGTGGCTTCTCTCACTTAGCGTAATGTTTTTAAGATTCATCTATTTTGTAGTACATATCAGTACTTCGTTTTTATTTATTGTCAAATAATATTCTATTGCATGGCTACAGCAGCTATTCAGTCATCAGTTGATAATCTTTAGGTTGCTTCTAATTTTGACTGCTATGAATAATGCTACTATGAGCATTCATTTACAAGTTATTGTGTGGACCTATGTTTTTATTTTTCTGCCACTGGATTTTATATTTAGTTAATTGGACTGACTTCCTTATCTCTCTGCCTTCTTCATGCGGTTCCTGAATTTTCAGTTTCTATCCTCATTCGTTCAGACTTGGTGTGCACATTTTCCATTTTCATGAAGCTTTCTCTGACTGTTCTGTCATTGATCTTATGCTTCAGGATGTGTTTTCTAGTCTGTGCAGAACAATTTATCCTTCAGTGTTACATTGCTTTATATTTTCATGAGACATAATCTTGTCTTAATACAAATTTGCCTAAGCAGAGAATAATATCTGACATACATGCTACCTGTTATCGTATAAGTTGAAAATATTCTATCTTACCTGTTGTTACAACAGAATTAAATATACTGATAATTTATTTTTTCAGACATTGACATAGTAAAGTTTTATTCAAACTGTATTTTAATAAATATAAAATCACTTTAATAGAGGAAAATTATTCTAATCAATACTCATTTTTTCTGGCCATTGAGAAAAATTATGTCTGCATTTAAAAAGTTTCAGATTTTGAAGCTTCAGATTTTAGAATAGGGATTTTCAGACCACAGTACAGGTTCTACTCAGTTTACAGTGGTGTTACATCTTGATAAACCCGTTGTAAGTGGAGAATATTGAGAATGAGAAACACAGAAAACACATAAATTTTATCTAAAGAGAAATGGTTAACAGCAAAGAAAAATTTAAAAAACTAGAAAGAATGCTTAGAGAGAATGAGCATAGTTAGCTCATCCTGAAGTTAGGTGAGAGTCAGAAATGTTATGGGGACCAAATGAGAGTTTTCAAAAAATGATCTTAGGTATGAATGAACAAACCTGGAATATTGTGAACTGTTGATGACAATCCCTTGAGGGCATCTTTGGAAACCAAAATGTAAATATAAGTACTTATTTTTAACTTACTGTTAGCATTCAGTATTTTCTGTGTAAAAACTTTTTTGCCAAATAAGTTTTGGCAGTTTAAATTCCACAAATGATACTAATGAAAGTATAAATCATCTTGGGCTGTTTTTAAAAAAGTTCTTATGTTTTCAATCTGTCATTATTGGAATAAAGTGTATAAATTGCATGTTATAGAATGGTTTACATGCATATAACTCATGAACTCGAGAAATAATATATTTAGGAAAGAAGAGTGTCTAGCTTTTTAGTAACAATTTTTTAATTTTAAAGTCTGAGGATAGAAAAGAGATGTTTAGAATTAATGCAATCTCAGGAGCATAATTTGGATCAAGAAAGAAAAGGATGAATTAGGAAAAGAAATAACTGGGTGAGATTTTAATATTTTAGAACTTTAAAAAGACTTATTAACTATAATTTCAATATATATTAAAACTGAGATACAAATTTGACCTATATCTGCGTTTTTATAATTAAACAAATTATTCTATTTTAAAATGTTTTCAGAGTCACAGCACAACCTGAAACTTTTTTTGAATATCTAAATATCATGCTTAATTTTTAGTGATTTTGAAAACAATAATGACAATGCCTTTGGCATATAATGTCAACTGGACTCTTCATTATCTACTTTCAATTTTTATTTCTGAAGATATTTTTGTTTATATTTGGTAATCTTCCTCTTGGTAGTGCACATATCTGCTATCCTTTAATAGCTTAAAATCTGTTATTTTAAAACATCGAAAATTATCTTGATTAACTTTTTGTCTCTTAGTTTTTTTGTTTTTTTTTTTTTAAGTTTTTAGATATATTATGGATATTTACTTATTTTCTACTGGTACCTCCCATGCATACATGAGATATATGTATCACTAACCTTCTGTTGTTTTTGATACACAAACACACGTGTATATATATGTTAAAATTAAAAAGTATGACTTAAAAAAGAGTAAAATGAGTAATTGTGTTTCTACCACTCAGATTAAAAATGGAATTGTCCTCAGCGCATTTGAAGCTCCCAACATGGCTACTTTTCTATTTGATGAGAACTTTAATTTGTTCTCTGATTCCAATGACTATTTTTCTCTCATTATGTTTCTCTGCATGGTTTCATTTTGTTAGCACTGTTCTAGCACAGATCTTTAGCTCTCTT